TAGAGTTTTTGAATAAGACCCCGAGCATTGTAAACAGTAGCCAACGGTAGTTAATTAGTATTTTTAAACATAATCTGTAAGAAAAAAAAAGCCGATTAAATGCAATAAAAAATATTCGAAATCAATATTGAGCAAAATTAAAATTCATAGCTAGACTAAATACATAAATCACTATAAACTCTAAACTATAACAGTCAATTAATAGATAACCTATAAGCAGAATATTAATTCATTAATTATTTTCTATCTTACAAGTAGCCCGATTATGACCTTTTTGACCACATCTTTGACACTGCTTTCTATTATCTTGAGTTGATTGCGAATTTTCATTAGATGAATGAAAATTTGTTTCAATATTAGATACACGCTGACGTTTTTTTGTATTTGATTCTTGAATTTCAATAGCACTTTTAGCTCTACCGGAAGGCCTTCCTTTTCTAACAAAAACGATTAGATTGGTGACCAGAAGATTTTCAGCTTAATTATCTTCATTCGATTGTTTATTTGAAAGGAATTGCTGACACAATCTGATTAATTCATCGTATAAGTTGGTATTGATAGCAACTTCAATAGTTCTTTTCATCAATCCATATACATATCCATATTTTGACCGAGTATTATAGATATTTTGAAGGGCTGGGGTATATAACTCACCACCCCGAAGTTGCATAAGATATTCAAGATTAAAAGAATGATTAGTACTAATATAACTATTAACATTAGATGATTCAATGCATAATGAAATAGGATCATGCTGCATTAAGATATCTTGATCATAGATCTTGTTATCTCGATATCACCACTTTGATATAAGGCTGATGTGCCATTGAGCGCATAAAGAAGTTCAAAGAATTTTGTAAAAATAATGACATGGATAACTATGTGTAATTAACATATTGCATATACACCTGTGCGAACCATCTAATATTAAGACGACAAACTGAGATTTGGTGCTACATGAAAAGGTGAGACACCAAATTTCAAGAATATTAGTATTTTCAATTGTCTTCAAAATATTTGTCAACAAATTTTGTGACAATTTATAGTCATCTTCACGTGCTTCATCATTTATATTGTCATCCATATATGTCTAATTAAAATAAAAATGTTAGTGTATTATGTTGTTTAATAAAACAATTAAATAGAACAATTAAAAATAGAATAATTAAAGTAGTTTACCTTTTCAAATGATAAAAAAAATAGAATGGTCAAAAAATAGAACGATTAAAAAAAATCAATTAAAAAAGTATATAATG